TTAGGTTCGTAGGTATAAGGTATATCGGTATCTTCTTATGGTAATTAAGGGCATCGTAGCACCTATCGGTTAAGGAGAAACCTCCCTAGGTACCGTAACTAGCTAGCAGGGATAAAATAAAGGCAATTAAAATAGCAAGCCTCTTGCGGTTAAAATAGATCGGTAAAGAACGGATGCGTTTAAATGCGTGTTATAAAAAAGGGGTAGTAGCGGTAACTTAATTAGATTAACTAAAGGCGAAAAACTACCATCTAGGTATTAGTAAAAAACGAAGGCGAAACCGGGTAAAAATAGGCATAGCTCCTTTAAAAGAAATAATTAAGAAACGAGAATAGGGATTCCTGTTAATCGGCGAACGAGCTTTTAGATAAACTAATCAAAAGCTAATGGGAGGGCGTAGGTTATTTAGATGGTCGCTATAATTATCTGCCCTCCCGTTAATCTTAACCTAAAAAAGGCTTAATCCAAAAGCTACGAAAATAGCTCCTAATTAATTGAAAAATAGGGAATCTCCTAATCGTCGTATCCTAAACCTATTAACTATAAAACGGTCGATTAAAAGGTCGCTCCTAAGGCTAAGGTAAGGACGAGCTACTAGGTAGTCGCTACTAAACAGGAGTAGCGTAGGCACGCTATAATGGAGGCACGAAAACGGCTACCTAACTACTAATAACTAGCCCAGTACCGATTAACTAAGATTATAGCTATAAATAGCTATAATTAGTTAATCGGCTAGCTAAAAACGGCAGCTAGGAAAGGGAACTAAAAAAAGGCAACGAGGATAGCTAGAAAGGCATGGTAAGAAACGAATAAATAGCTATAGGCTATGATATCTATAGGTCTAAGTCTAACTAATGAAAATATAAGTACGCGACCCATATAAATATATATCGAAAAGGCTACGTGGCCTAGATCCACCGCACTACTATAGTAAGGATTAGAGCTTTCTAGTCTAGGGAGACCTCTCTACCGTATAGGTAGAGAGGAGATACCTAATTAACCCTCGGGACGCGCCTGCTCCTTTATTATTCCCTTAATTAAGAGGGATAAGCCGAGATTAAGAAGCAAGTAACTAAGATAGAGAAAGAATACACCGATCGGGCTAAATCAGTAAGGATAAACTAGGCTAAGCTAATCGTAAAGTAATAAAAGGGCCTCCTTATTATATTAGACTATAAACTAAACGCTCGGCCTTAGTAATTAAATAATAACTAGTAGAATAAAGTTTTGTAATAATTTTTAAAGAAAGATATTAATTAGAATATACCGTGTTATCCTTTTTAGTTTAATTATTTCTTATAGTATAATTAAACTAAGAAGGCTATAGTAATACGGTAAGATATATCTTCTTAATATATTACGTAATATGTTACGATAGGCCTTATACTTATATAGAGTAACTATAGCTCCCGTAAGTATAGGCCATGCTATACTTATTATCGAATTTACTACCTAGCTAGATTACTATCTTTATTATTTTTACCTTAATTAAAGATTCGTTTTTATTGTTAGATTTATCGTCCTCTGATTAGTATATCTATTTTAATTATAGACGCTTAAATTACTTCGTCGTACCGCTATAGCCGAATAAGTAACTTTTTACATTTTACTCCTTTTCTTTCCTTATTTCTTATGCCTTCGAGCTAGCGACTACTATATCTCTACGACTAAGGGATATAGTTAAGATATAATAACTACATTAGATTTCTTATCTTTCGATTAGTATAGCGGTATTAGTTTTATTTATCTTAGATTATTGTACGTATTATAGTCTTTGATAGAATATACCTTCGAGTAAACCTATCCGGGACTCTAGCATCGCGTACGCTCTGCTCCTCCTTAATAGTCGTTGACCTTTTCTTTAAGTACGACTAAGTAACGTTAACAGAAACGAACCGTAACCTAAGTACGTTCGTTACTCCTATTAACCTTTTACGTATAACGATTTTATTATTAAACGCGACGAACTTAATTACTGCTTTTTTCTGAGTCGTTATACGAATTTTTCATAATTAAATTTCTATTAAATACGAGTCCTTCTTTAACGACGTCGGTATTAAGAAGGAGTAGAGCGTACGCGATACTAGAGTCCCGGATAGGCTTACTGAAAAGTATACTCTATCGAAGACTATAGTGCGTACGATAGTCTAAGATAAATAAAATTAACATTACTATATTAATCGAGAAACGAGGAATCTAATGTAGTTATCGTATCTTAAGTATATCCTTTGGTTATAGAAATGTTGTAATCGCTAGCCCGAAGGTATAGGAGATAAGGGGAGAAAAGGAACTAAGCGTAAAAGTTACTTATTCGACTATAGTAATACGACGAAGCGACTTAAACGCTTATAACTAAAATAGATATTCTAATCAGAGAACGACGAATCTAATAATAAAAACAAATCATTACTTAAGATAAAAATTATAAAGATAATAATATAATTAAGTAATAAACTAAATGATAAATATAATATAGCCTATACTTATGGGAGCTATGGTTACTCTATATATGTATAAGGCCTATCGTAAAGTATTACGTAATATATCAAAAGGGTATATCTTACCGTACTACTACATTAAGTACTATATTACCGTTCCTATTACTAATTCCGCTCGCTTTAATATTAATCCGTAAAATGCTAAAGAAGGTTAGTTTAGCTTTTTATTACGGTTTTACGAGCTATTCGTTAGATAAAAGCCGTATATTAATAAATTAAAGCTAAACGAGGAGAAGAAGGAGAAAAGGAAGGTACGTTCTATAGACTGTACTTATAATAACGAGCTTTATCCTCCGTAGGTACTGGGCTAACTACGTACTATGCCTTGGCACTAGCTAGGGTCTCATAATAAGCTATGCCTATTATATCTTTTTAATAAGTGGTCGATATCTTCTTTCTTTAGTACCGACCGTAGACGGTTGTTTTTTCTTTTTTTAACATTGCCTGTAAGCGATTATTTTAGCTTTTCTTATCGTCGCTTATATAAGAAACACTAGAATAATCTTATTCTCGCAATATTTCTACTTCTGTTCTTTTTACGTCTTCTAACCCGTACTTATTAATACTCTCTCTAACTATAGTTTCTAATAATTATAACTATTCTAAATAAAATAAAAACTATTAAGTATATATATTAAGTATATATAAAAATATTATAAAAAATATTATTTAGTAACTTTTAATTACTTATTACTATATTAAAATTTCAAATTATAATATCTGTACTATCGTAGGTACCTAGGTACTGTAAGTAGGTATCTATATATAGATTTAGGTTAGAACTTAATGTCCTTGTAGCCGTTCTCTCGCAGCTACCGGAGTCTTCGGTACCTCTTAATTTGAGGGTTAAGATAGGTACCTAATGTACACTTACCTGCATCGGCTGTCCCAGCCTCTGCTCCAATGCCCCATCCTGCAGTGGGTACTCACTCACGGCACTTATGTACGTAGAGGTACCTGCCTGCCTATTTCCTACGCACTTAGATCTTGGTGGCTACAGAGGAGGTCGGAGGTTACATCAGGTACCTACAGGTAGGTAGCGGGTATCCGCTCTTGCATCAGGTGCGAGCGCGGTCTCTGCGGGGGAGGGTCCGCTACCAGGCACCCACGCTTATGAGTCTACTCCCATCCGCAGTGCCTCCTGCGAGCTCCCCAGGTACTTGCTTTAGGCACCCAAGACAGGCGGCCCTGGGGCGTGGGTTACGTCGGAAGGCGCATCTTGGTTGACCCCGATCCCGGGGTCCTCAGGTCCGGCTTGGAGGGAAGGCACACCCGCTGATCGGGGTGCTTAGAGGAAGTAAGTACCTCAGGTACCTCAGGTACCTACCTACCTAGTAGGTACCTACCTACCATACAGGGAGGGGGGGGTCTATTAATACTATGTTAGTAACCCTTTCTATAACTAGACGTAGTATCTACCTCGTAATAAGAGTAAGTTAAACTCTAGGCTAATATTATTACCATTTCCCGACATAGTTACCATCCGGATATAATGTCTTTATTTTAAAAAAAGGTACATTTCATAGGATTACCCGGTTACCTCTAGGTTACTAAGTACGTACCTTTGTACCTTTGTATCTTTTACGTCTGTTACCTACCTCCTACCTCTCTTCCATAGGTTCGAAGATAGGTAGATAGATTCCACGCGCGCGAACTGGCTCCCACAGGTTCGCAGATAGGTTCGTAGATAGGTTCGAAGATAGATAGATAGATTCCACGCGCGAACTGGCTCCTACAGGTTCGAAGATAGATAGATTTCATACGCCTGAACTAGCTCTCACAGGTTCGAAGATAGGTTCGAAGATAGATAGATAGATTCTACGCGTGAACTGGCTCCTATAGGTTCGAAGATAGATAGATTCCACACGCCTGAACTAGCTCCTACAGGTTCAAAGATAGGTTCGAAGATAGATAGATAGATTCCACGCGCGAACTAGCTCCCACAGGTTCGCAGATAGGTTCGTAGATAGGTTCGCAGATAGGTTCGTAGATAGGTTCGCAGATAGGTTCGTAGATAGGTTCGTAGATAGGTTCGTAGATAGGTTCGCAGATAGGTTCGTAGATAGGTTCGAAGATAGATAGATTCTACGCGCGAACTGGCTCTCACAGGTTCGCAGATAGGTTCGCAGATAGGTTCGAAGATAGGTTCGCAGATAGGTAGTAAATCATGGTGTTTGTAGAAAAAAGATGAAGACAACAGGTCTAGGTAGGTAGGTGGTCTAGGTAGGTAGGTGGTCTAGGTAGGTAGGAAGGTAGGTAGGTAGGTAGGTACCTATGGAATATATAGACATTATATCCGTCTGGATATTAGTTCCTACGCAGTCATAAAAACCATCCTGAAATTATAAGAAGGGAAGGTAATAAGGTCGGTACCGCGATCCTTGCTGTAATTCTTTTAGCTCTTTCGAAAGAATAACTAGTTGAGGTAATCCTTACTAGATTTAGTTACCGTATCCGTACCCCGACTCTATTGCTGACATACTATCCATAGACCCCCCCCTCCCCGTATAGTACCTAGGAGGTACCTACCTAGGTAAGGTAAGCCCCAAGGTAACCCGCAGGTAAGAGGCAGGTAGGGTACGTAGCTACCTAAACGTGTGCCTCAGGTAACTTCCCTGCGCGCCGACGTCGATCATAGCTGCCTTGTTCTCCTCTCTCCGCCCTCTTTCCGCTCACCTTGTTTGTTGACTATCGACCTCTCTCTCCTTACGAGTAGATCCTCCTCCCAGCCTCCGTTCCATGTCCATTTGATTTCGCGCGCTGGGCACTATACACCTTGGGAATAGCCTGTCTTTCGTCCCTAGAGTCCGTTAGCAGCAGCATCCCCACCACTTCGATGCTGTGCCCACTGCCGTAAAGCCATTGCTTGCTCGGCCAGGCCTCTTGTTGGCAGCAGATACTTCGCCGCTCCTCCTCCCGCCATGAGGCTCAGTCTCTGGTCCGCCCTCGCGGCGCTGGCTCTAGCCGCTGTCGATGCCTCGACCTTGACGCCTCCCGTGCTGCCGTTAATCGTGCGAAATCCATACTTATCCATCTGGCTCGCGCGTGCCCGCGATGCTCCCTGGGAAAACTGGCCAATGTTTTACACCGGCAGTACCGTCGGCTTTGCCATCATGGCCGTGGTGCCTGAGGCTAGGACGGTATACCCTCTGTTGGGTCGCTCACATGATTTTCTCCCGCACTCGCCAAGGTCAGTCGATGATGTTGCCCGCCCCTAGCCTTGAAACCTCGTCCTGGTCTGACTTCTGTCCAGCTACCAGGTTTCCTTCCCGCAATATGACGGCGCCACCTTCGACGCTTCCACCACGAACCTCACATACACCCTCCAAGGCTCTGACGTAAAGATCACTCTTTCGTTCCTATCCCCCATCACCCCCACCTCAACGTTGAGGCAATCTCTGCCGGCAGGGTACCTTACTTGCGTCGTCGAGGGCTCGACTGATGTCAGTCTCTACATGGATGTAAATGGAGAGTGGATTAGTGGCAACCGAGACAATAAGATTGTGTGGAAACTGGCCCACACTGCTAAGAACGAGCACTCGAGAACCCCGATCAAAACTTGGAGTATCACACGGCACCAGGAAGAACTCCTGACCGAGTTCTTCGATCATGCCGAATGGGGTACTGTACATATCTCTGCCCCGGCTGATGCGGAACATCAGTCCGGAGAGGCAAGCTCCATCCGCCGTCATTTTGCTGAGCACGGGTCGCTCAAGAATCAGGTGGATGATACCTATCGTGGTATTTTCGAAGACGAACCCATCTTCGCCTTTTCTAAAACTTTCAAGCTCGGTGGAGGTAATAACTCGTCGCATCCCGCCTCCCAGAAGAGTATCGTTTTCAGTTTTGCCCTCACGCAGGATCCTGTCGTCCAGTTCGCCTCTGCCAGGGGCTTGACTTGGATGCGACCCCTTTGGGCGTCCTATTTCCAAACCGCCCAAGGGATGTTGCAGTACCATTTTGACGACTACGATACAGCTGCATATCTAGCCAGTAATTATTCGGCACAGCTTGCTCGAGACGCGTATGCTTCGGGTTCTCAGGATTACCAGGACATCGCCGCATTGTCGGCTCGACAGGTACTTGGAGCCACCCAATTCTCCGGAACCCCAGGCGGCCCAATCATATTTCTCAAGGAGATCTCTTCAAATGGAAATTTCCAGACTGTTGACGTTATCTTCCCGTCGTTCCCGTTTTTCCTGTATACCAACCCACAATGGCTAGCATATCTCTTGGAACCTCTACTAGAACATCAACTGAGCGGCCAATACCCCAACGATTACAGCATGCACGATCTTGGGACACACTTCCCGAACGCTACTGGACATCCCGACGGAAACGACGAATACATGCCCGTCGAGGAGTGCGGCAATATGCTCATCATGGGTCTAGCGATCGTAAATGCGTTGAAGGATAATACGCAGCCCGCGTTTGCTAGGACAAAATCTCAAGTAGCCTTACCCCCGAGTTTAGAATCTACACGGAAAACACATCTAGTCGATGCATACGGGATGGATCGTACATGGGAAGAGATGGGAACATCAGGCGAAAAGGCTGCAGAGAAATGGGTTCGCCGCTCGTACAAGTTATGGGAGAAATGGACTGGTTATCTCGTCCGGGAATCACTCATCCCTGCTAATCAACTGTCTACTGATGACTTTGCTGGCTGGCTGGCCAACCAGACCAACCTAGCGCTCAAAGGAATCATCGGTATCAAGGCTATGAGCGAGATCGCTAGCGTTGCTGGCAAGGAAGCCGAGTCCCGGCAGTACAGCGATATTGCTGACGAATACGTGGAAAAATGGCAGGATTTCGGTCTGTCGAGAGACAAGACGCACGCGAAATTGGCATATACCTGGTATGGTTCATGGACAACACTTTATAACATCTTCGCCGACGCACTACTCTGCTTCCACCTGCCTGCGAATGGATCCTGGTCGCTGGGGTCGGGTAGATCCCGAGACTCGGGGATCCAGCAGACGATAGTCAGCAGCGCCAAGAGCAATCCGAAGCTGACCTTCATCCCTGATGATATCTACAAGAAACAGAGTGACTGGTATCATTCAGTGCTTCAGAGATACGGCTTACCCCTAGACAGCCGACACTTATATACAAAGAGCGACTGGGAGTTCTTCGCGGCTGCTGTGGCGAGCAAGAAGGTGCGAACAGAGATATTGCGGCATGTTGCGACGTGGGTTAATGAGACAGTGACTGGTATTTCGACCTTCCCCCATCTATTAATTTCGTTTCTCTTCGGAAAATCGCGTCTAACAGAGACCTTGTGTGTATCCATAGATCGACCATTGACGGACCTTTATGAGACGGAAGGCGATGGAGGATTCCCTGGTCCGAATTTTATGGCCCGTCCGGTGGTGGGAGGTCATTTCGCCTTTCTTGCCCTGGAGAGAGCCTGTGGGGGTAAAGCTACGGAGGGTTTGAGGTTCCTGGACGAAATGGACCCTGTCAAAATCGATATCGAGCAAGCTTTGAGGGCAGACGTGGATGGAAACCAAGTTGAAACAGATGAACTATGATAACAACTTAGAGAGACGAGGGTGTTGTCCTCCCAACCCCCCAAGCCAGCCTGACAATTATGCGGTGGTGCTTACATCTGTAACTACCTGAGACCTAAGGCGAGGCCGGTAGGGGATCCGGCCCGCCAGCATGTGGCACGAAGCGACGGCCTAGTTGCATCTTGGGGCTAGAGAGGAAGAACATTTTTGGAAGGACTAGGCAGGTCAGAGTTCAGCATGACGTATCGCATGTGAAGTCTCTATGTTTAGATGCTATTTTAGTTGAACGGTTAGTCTTGTCTACCTCTTGATCTCTATTTAGAGAAGGTAGGCATCTATCCATACCTGTTTCTGCTTGTGGTGTTACGTACCTAGGAGGTTAGCTAGTAGCAGTAGAACGTAGTAAGACCTACGAGATGCCTCTACATGCCTATACATAGGCACCTAAAGATAGGTACTTAAGATAGGCATTTAGGTATTTATATTTTATAAACAGTAGTATTTATAATATAAGTATACGTTTTATATAAATAAATACTATAAGTTTAGTAATTATAAATAAGAATTAAACTTTTTAATTAATAAATTATTATATAAATATTATATATAATTTCAAATTAATTAAACTTATAAATTAAAATTTCTAATCTTATTTTTTTAATGTATTTATCATATAAATATAAAATATAAGATATATTAAAATATCTATTAATGTAAAAATAATTAATTCTTAATTATTAAAACTATTAATAAATTTCTTTATAAATTAATATATTAAAATATACTTTTTATTTTTTGTAAAGTTAACATTATATTAGTTTCTACATTACCTATATATCATTATGATGCGAAAGGCCATTATCTTAATATGTTTATAGCTGGAATTCATCTATGCATGATAGCGATTGCTGTAAAGGGGCTCTATTGATACGCGTTATTGTTACCTTAGTGAAGCAGGTGCTAGGTACGCGGTTTCCCTAGGTTAGATAGCTGAATAATTTTGCCTCCCTTAATATTTTTCTGCACCCCATTAGATTCCTCTCCATCTTTCATTCATCCATTTCATCTCCTCTCCTTTAACAAGCCGATCCTCTTTTTTCTCACCCCCAGCCTTGTTTAAGAACATCACCACGCAAGCTCATCTTCCTAAGAGGGCGCTCGTGTGTCGACGCTAGCAACTTTCCTTTGCACGACACGGCATACGCACGCTCCTTTTGACAGCATCATAGTCCACGTCGCGACCAGTCCCATCGCCTTAATTACGCGATTGACCTGTACCAAGTATTGGAGAAGTAAGTAGGATTCATTACCACCATCCCCTTCATTTGCTTTCCTATCTTGTCAGTTGGCCAACCTAGGGATTTTTTTCAAGAAAAAAAAAACCTCACCGAACCATCGATCTACCACTTGCCATCCAACCTCATCTCGTCCCCAAGTTTATCCCATCCTCTTCCATCTTCCATCCTCGTCAACAACCGCTCCATCTCCCGGCGCGATATTTTCTCTGTAGCTGCAGTCCCTTGACAGGGTTGCTCACGCGTCTTCTTCCTACGCCGGTTACTCGGCAGATAATCGCGTCGCGAATCAACACTCACCACCGTCGCAGCGTATCGGTCAGATCAAGCCCCGTTTGTCATGGCGACTACCGCGATGGACTACGAGAATGCCAATGGCGACCGCTTCGATGGTAAGTTATGCTGTACCTGATTATTGTGGATTCCGTTGCTATTGGAAAGTCGTATTGATCACTCGCGCTTCGCAGACGATGGCCCCCGTTACGAGCGTGATCAGCGCAGCGCTTCTCCCAGAGCATCACGCGACGACGGAATTGAGAGTGGTCGCCGTCGCTCTGCTTCACCTTCTGCCAACCAAGACCGGTAAGCATCAATGTCCACTTAGGATCTCCCACACGCTTGTGTCACCACCATTCGTGTTTTCGAGAGAACGGGTCTAACCTTGACAATGAACTTCAAGTGGCCCCAAGGATGAGAACGGCAGCAAGGATGAGGATGGCTCCATCAATCCCGGGTCGAACCTTTTCGTGACTGGAATCCATCCCCGACTGACCGAGGTCGAGGTCACGCGGCTTTTCGAGAAATACGGAGAGGTTGAGAAGTGTCAGATCATGAAAGACCCTCACACCAAAGAATCTCGTGGTTTTGGTTTCGTCAAGATGGTGACGTCCGAGCAAGCCGATGCAGCCAAAGATGGACTACAAGGGGAGGATGTCGAGGGTCGAACGCTAAGTATTGAGAAAGCCCGTCGGGCCCGACCTCGAACCCCCACTCCCGGCAAGTACTTTGGCCCCCCGAAGAGAGGTTAGTAGCCGACCCATCCCAACCCTGTTCAGTTATGATCTAACCACATCGTCTCAAGAGAGCCGTCCCCGCTATGACGATCGACGCCGTGGAGGTGGCTACGGCTATGGTGCACGTGATGATCCTTACCGCTACCGAGGCTACGACCGTCCACGTTACGAGGATCGTGGCGATCGTGGATACCGCGAGGACCGTGGATATGACCGTAACTACCGCGATGGCAGAGGCGGTTACAGTGGCCGTGAAGAGCGCGGTGGCTATGACCGCAACTATGATCGCGGTTACGGCCGAGAGGAGCGACGCGAGCGCGAGGAGGGTTACAACCGAATCGACCGCTATGCTGGTGGTCGTGAGGATCGTGACCGATATGCAGGAGCACCTCGAGAGGATCGTCGCGCCGCTGGTTACGAGCGTGATCGATATGAACGTCCCGAGAGGGATGCTACTCGTACCCGGGACCCAGCTCCCTCTGGCTACGGCGAAACCGCGTCTCGACCTGACGCCCGTGAGACCTACGGAGGTGCGCCCTGATCATCGACAAGGACCATTTCGACGATCCGGCCTGCCGCTGCTAATGCGTCACCCAGGAAACGATCACTATGTGCATTGAGAGCATTTTCCGAGATGTACTCTCGCATTCGCCTCTGCATAGCAGAACTTTCGGTGACGGTACTCAGGCATCTCGTTATCTAGTGTCTTTCCTCTTCGGACATGCGAGTACGGCGGATACCATAAAAGATGCGACATACGGAGTTTAATACGGCAGGTAAAAGGGAAGGAAAAGGCACTAACCGTACCATGTTTTCTTCTTCTTTTCTTTTTTTCCCTCACCTCTGATCTTTAGACAGGGTTCAACAGACGCAGGCAGGTGGATGCTATGTTGATTTCGCCTATCTTGAGGCGAAAATTCTCGGCGAGAATATTGGAGTCTGCCTAGCAACGACGATTGAGGGTGAGGGCACAGACAAGACAACCTTTTCCCCAACCCAGTCAACCCGTCCCCCTGGATCAGCTATGACCGTCCTCCGCGTGGACACCAAGCCATCCTTTCCCATTTCGCGGCATGATACTTGCTTGTACTATTATTTTCACTTCCGAGGTTTCTCTTCGAGCTTGACGAGCATGACGACAGAGCAACATCCATCAGCATTTTGCCGGGCAGATATTCGAGACAGCCCTGCAATGGTGGTCCCGCAGAATGCAACACATAATTGATCGCAAATTCCCGTAAAGGTGCAGCATTAAAATCGAGCCGACCATTGCTCCGTAAATACCATTGAACTTGGCCTCAATTTTCTTAAAGTCACTACTCTCAGGCAACCCCCTCTCGTCTCAACACCACGCGACACGGTTCTAAATGTATGAGGCTCCCGACAGTCGTAAAAAAAACGGGAGACCTGTTTCCGCTCCGGGTCATTTCCTTGGCCTACTTCGCCTCGTCTGTTGCTTTCGCCCTCCCTAACAGCAAGCCAGCCTCCACTCGTCCCGCCGTCAAGGCCCTAGGGTCAACTGGTCCGCGCATGGTATCCGTCTCGTCGTGCTACCAAGCATAACCATCAAGGTGAAGGCTCCCCCAACCACGAGACAGTGCTAACGAAGATTCAGCCCTTAGTAGGGACGGGTTTGCTACGGTTATCTCGGGAGCAGGCCGCCCCCTTGATAAGTTGCCTTCGTCGCAGCAAGGTGCGAACCAACTAGCCCACGATGTGCCTTTGGGAATATCCGAGCACAGCTTGCGCCATCGTCGACCTGCGTAATAGGCGGACGCTTTCGCCTGCCATCGTATCGCGAATAATAGCGTAGGAGGACATGACTTTATCTATGTGTATATATGTTGTAGTGTACCGGAGTACTTATATAGCCGTTATGAGAATATAACCATTGTATAGATTGAAAAGTTTACCTATCTTGTTCGTTTCCGTTTGACATCAATTCGCAGCGTACGGCTAAGACGGCTTGAGGCGTTCAAGTGAAGGCAGGAGCAGGGAGGGTTGCCATTCTGAAATCAGCAAGTCCTGATCCTGTCTACATTCCTCAGCTCGGCTTTGTTTGAAATAACGTAGCCAGCTGCAGCAGATGTGTTAGAAACCAAAGATAAACGTGTTTCGAGAGGTAGTAAATCTTTGTGAGTTGGAGTGGTAAAGGGGGAGAAAAACGGGTTGCGTTGACGGAAACGTCTGCAATCGAACTCAATGGTCGCAATGGGAAATTCCAGGAGACAAAGCCGTCCTCACCCTGGCCTGGCTTGATAATTGCGGTGTCTCGTAGATGCATTGCTTTGGAAATTCGCTAGAAGGTGGCAGATCATTGCTATTGCTTCCCGAACCCATTTTCACTATTAAACTATCTAGCATACGCGATTCTTCCTTCATTTCTCCAGGAATCATCCCGTGGTTCTTTACACACTACTCCCCAACATGTCAACGGCGCAACCTGAACCACCCAATACCATTGACAAGAGGTCGGAGCTGCGCAAATTACGGGATACCTATAAACGCCTACAGACTTATCTAGCCATCTGCCGCCACGACCTGCAGGTACAGCAGAGAGAAAAAGATAGTACGTTTTAATAACCCCCCCCCCCCCCCCCAGCCAACATCGATTATCTCTCTCCCCTTTCTTATCGTCCCCCTGTGCTCTCCCCGCGTGGCAGTATTTCCTCCTAACACGCTCGACTTTTAGTCCAGGAGAGAAAGAGCCCGCCGTATAGAAAACGGTGGAACGGCAGCACGAGAGAGTTGAGAGGGCTAGATCAGCAGGAGGCCAAGAAAAATTTAGACTTGGACGAAGTCGAGAAGATCCTGAGGGCTCCCATCAGGCAGGTGTCGAAGGCTTACCCTGAGACGCTTGATAGGAAGATCGCGTCATACAAGAACCGCATCAGACGGACTTCGGTGCAGTTACTCATTGCCGCCGCCGCCGGTCACCAGTACCGGGAGATCAACCTAGCGACCAGAGACGGGAAGCTCGTCCCCGGCATCGACCCCACCGTCCCTCGCAAACACCGCGTCTTCGACATGCGACGTACGTCTAGCTTGAGCTCCAACGAGGCCGCGGCCCGAGCCGTCAAGAATTGGATTAATCAGTCAAGAGCTAGGCGCGTGCGTCCCGTCCCACCTACGGACAACGACGATAGAATGGATAGGAGAGTTAGCTTGGAGGAAAGCAGTGGAGACAGCAGCGCAGAGGAGGCTGTGATCGATGCAGCAATAGCTATGATGTCCCGGGCTCGGCCTGCTCAGGGCTCACGAGATTGGGCTCACGACATCATGGCCCCCATCGCCGATGGCCGTCGCCCAGGCCTTAAATCAGGCCTAGGAGCGCGGCCTGTATCCGGGGGCGCCAGAATCCCATCCAGGACCCCAAATGAACCAGCCGCGCCGGATCCAGAAAGCTATGATCCCCGACGGTGGCGGCTGCCCGTTGACATCACCGGTGCCCCCCGGTTAGACTCGAGCAATTTCGAGCAGCCGAAAAGCCGAAACCTCACGGGGTGGATGACCTGGACCGAGCAGGAAGGAGCATACCCGACGACCGACTCAGTCCTACGCCCCAAGAAGCTCTCGGATAATGAGCTGTGGGATCCGGATCAGAGGGGCATCCACGAGGAAAAATGGGGGCGGGAGCCGCTGGAACCGGATTTCGTCACCAAGCTATCTATCGAAAGGCGGTACGGCGCCGAAAGGCGGGAGCTTGACACGCCTCTGTATTCCGGCTACTCGCAGGATCTGACGAGCCTGCCCGCAAGATCAAGCGAGGGGGAGATGAGGGCTGGCCCTCTACCGGTGCCGCCGACGTTGCCTTTGATGGGGCCTTCCGGTTTCGAGGTGTCACTTGCCGGGCGGGAGCCGCCGGGTACCCGAAGGCTGAAGTCGAAGAGGACCGTGGAAGACACGGGCGACGCCCCTCTGCCTGTCACTCAATACCACTACCCCATCGACTCCCCGGCAACCGCAGACTTCCGGCTCCCCGACCGTCGTCGTGTCGCCGAAGTCATCAGGCCACCGACGCTGGACGAGTTCGGTCAAATTCGCGGCAGCAGGAGCCTACAGGCGGAGGGCAAGAGGATAGCGTCGGACCAGGCCAGCTACAGGCGGCCGTATAACTACGACACCGTGCCAAACCCCCCGACACCATATTCACTACCGCTGGGCGCGCAATATCGTCCTTCCAACAGGGCCGGGATTACAAGACCGGACTCGGCACGGGCGCCGCATAACGTCACGTCGCCGGCGGCGCCAGAGCGTGTTGACGAGCCTCGAGAAGAGTCGCTCTTTGGAAAAGCGCCTGTGCTCTCTCCCTCGGCTGCAAAGAGAGACGACAGCTCGTATAATGAATTCCAATCTCTCCTGGACGAGATCAATGTAAGTCTTGGCAACCCCGACCCCTCCTCTTTCACTCGCGCCCTTTCGTTATGAACCGTTCACCACTCAGGCCCTCAGCCTGCGGATGAACATGGCAGTTAACGTGCGCACGACACGATAGGCGACCCCCGAAAAATACGCTGCTGCTGTGGATAAGCTGGGCCGTGAGGGTATCGACCTGCGCCAATTAGTGGAAGAGCGAGGCGGGGGGAAAGCGTCTAAGAATGACAAAACGGTGAGATTCAACCTCTAAGTCTAGTGCTGGAGACAGTTGGGCACAGTTGGCTTTTCTGCAAGCTGCGCATATAGACTACATTCAACTTTCGGAGCACATTTGTCCGGAGACTCGGGGGAGATAGCTTGGGATGTGGGCATAGATGTTCGCGTAACCGACAAGAGGGTGGTGTTGTTATGTTGGTGTTATATCAAGGGCCGCAGGTCCTGGGTTTATAAATGAATCCGGATCATACCGAATACCTTTTTGGGGCATCATCAGCTGGAGGCCATGTCCGACTGTCGCACTCTGCCCATGTGTGTAAAATATACTACGTGAACGGAATGGGACTGGGCAATATGCTCGTAAGCTTATGTCCCATAGAGTACTGCCTCCCCTTCCCTGCCGGGGGCTGCTCAAGTAGAATGAACAGTACAATTCATCTGGGTACATGTCAGCCCTTCTCGCCAGCTCTGTCAATAGGTTGAGCCCCAATTAGCCAACCAACACCCGATGCCAGAGTTCCAACGGCAGCATCTCTTAACTGATCTCTCTTCCTCACCCTAGACGGATTAGAGCCATCGTCCGCTTCGTCACGGGCTTCGCTAGACCTGGCATTTCCGCTTCGCTGCAAGCTCGACAACGCTGTTAAATTGCGTTGCGCCCTGGCCATGCTAGCACGCGACAAGTCGAAGAGAGACATAGGTGCCTCTTCGACGTGCCGTGCGGATCTGGTATTTGCGCTTCTTGTTGCGCCGTCCGATACCGGGCCGTCAAAAGCATCAGGCGCAGCCCGCAGATCGCCTTGATCATCCCATGCCAACTCTTGTACCGCTTCGGCTCTAACGGCGGCGTTCAGCTCTTCTTCACACTTACGGAACACACTTAAAATCTCTTGAAGGGTCACCGGGGGCGCAACTCGAAGCGCTGTGGCCAAGCACTCCATACGTTGCTCAAGATGTCGGATGACAAAGTTGCCGCTGGCCGTGCCGGTATGCGTAGGCTTGATGGTTCGGGACGTATGACGGTATTTGCCAGCCTGCAGGGCGGCTTTCCAAGAATATTCATCGTCCCAGGCTACCATATCGGGTAGCTCACCCGCCGTGGCCAGTCGATTAACGACAAAGGAATACGCTGTCTCGAAGTCGTCCTCCAGAAGAGCAGCATCTATGCACATGGCCGTGATCCGTTTCTTAACGATTTGCCGCTGCTGTGCTTGCCCTGTCGCCAGTCCCAGCCGATCCGGCTGGCTGTGGGTTAACAGACCGGCCTCAGCCATGTTGATACCGATTTCTAGAAAGTCCTGGATTCGGGTGTAGCTTCTAGGGTTCTGTTCCAATACTTTCCCGATAATCGATATGGGATCTGCGTGAACCCGGAGCACAACTGGCGTAAACGGTTCCCCCTTCTTCAGTGTAAGGCGGTATTCACTTAGTGCGTGTGTTGCTTTCAGGAGGGCTTCTATCCGTTTAGAAGCGGGATGGGATTCCCCGAGAGTGATGGAGAAGGCATGAATTCTGATCACCGCTTAGAGGCAGCCCCCAATATTCCAGTAATCAGCAGACTTACATATCATCACATTTTAACAAACCACCGCGACCACGGTGGGGATTAGACGCATTATCATAGGCATTCATTGCGGTGGAGATAATGGTTTCTCGTAGGACGTCGTCGTTAAGTGGCTTTTCGGAAGTGTCTTCGTATGTAGATTTAGCTAGAGAGTAGCCTGTCCGGATTAGCGCAAGACGTCCTAACAGGGAGGAAGTGATATGCCTTACGAGTACTACCGAGAAACGCTCTGAGGCATTCGGTTTCGAGGAACTCCTTCTGCAGCTGGCCGAAAACGCCGGGAACCCGAGCATCCGGAGATCCTAGGGCTTCTTCTGCGCCCCAGTCCCGAAGCCATAGAAGCTCATTCCTAGCTCTGATCCAGTATTTGTCGTCGCTTTTTGGCCCCTTATGACATACCGAATGGATGAATTTGACCGCTTCCGATTTTTGCTCTCGTTTGTCCTGCAGGAAAGCGAGTTCGGCCGCTCTTCGAATAGTACAAGGAACTTCAGCCTTAGTTAGGATGAAGGCGCTTAGCGCCAGGGTGTGTAGCAGCCGCGTCGATGCCTCATTGGGTGTAGTGAGTATATTCGACTCAGCGAGTAGGTCGTTGCGTATGTAGGTGGCATTCTTAGCACATAGAAGTTCTTCTCCGATCGAGCCAGCAGAGGGGGGAAGCAAAGACGAGGCAACTTGTAAGGTAGGGCAGGGGTCTTGATCGAGCAGGGCCATGATCTTTGCGATTATGCTGTTGACACCGGTTAGCGCTTCAACGGAAGCCTCCGGCACTAGGTATGCCGAAGCCAGTGCGGCACGCGCGTATCTTTGCTCGAGATATTCTTGTTCTCCGTCTTCTAGCCACATAGAAGCATAACCGCCTAAATCAACGTCCGCCGGCCCGTCCCATTGGTCTATGGCCTTGACTGCTACTCTCCAGGACTTGGATGCCTGCGTTGTGATCCACTCGAGGACTCGTTCCCAACCCGGACAGTTCGTCTCGCCACTTGGTACCTGATCGTGCCCCGAAGGGAGCCGCTTCTCTCCGCCACGTTTCCATCTCGATTCATTGTAAAGCCACGGGCCTATCAGCCCTCTGAGGTCCCTCCCGACATGCGACAGGTCTTCCTGGCGAGCGCCGGTCTGTGACAGCAGCAGATCAACTGCAGCTTGATCGTTCATACGGTCAAAAGCCGCTAGGGCCTGTACATGGGGGCAGTGCGGGTAGTACACGTGGTTCCGACGGAAGAGAGGAAGGAGAACCGAGACCATCCAGGTCCGAACACACGGTGCGTGGTCGAGAAAGGGCACGATGAGGTCGGGAAGTTGAGCAAGCAACCCAGTCTCTCCGTCGACGCGATACGCACGGTGTATCAGGAATAGGGACAGAGGGTCCTCAGTCGCGCCCGTCGGAGGGTTGGGCCAGGCGAGGGGTAATAAGCGCAGCTTGCGAACCTTTCTCGAGGCCTCGTCATCAGTGATATCCTGCACCGAAGACCAGTCGAGACCGTGCGAGTCGCCATCTGTCTCGAGCGCCCCCGACTCGATGCGTCGGATTAGGGACACGTATTGGCTGGTGGGTAGAGTCTCGGGCAGGCAGGTGAGTAGGATTCGAAGTAGCAAGTCCTGCCGCAGGACGTTGCAATGCTGAGCTGCGAGCGACGTCAAGCTCTCAACGTCGGATTTGGCAGCGAAGTGCACGGCAAGGAGCACCACATGAGACGCTGAGGGAAATGCCACCATATTGGTAGAATTGTGCACATGATTTTCTCGGCGCGTCAGTGTGATGGCGTGGATGAGGCTTATCGAAGACCAGGGTTGAAATCAAGAAAGACAGATGAGCCAACAGCTTAAAGATATGCCGATGTGCTTGAACAGTAATAGGGTAACATTTATAAAATATTCACTTTAATTTATACGTTTTCATAAAAAGCAAGTAGTCGTTATTAAAAAGTTATTCATTTATCTTAATTTACATACGTATTTTAATATATACTGTAAATAGATTTTAAATAAAATAATAAATAATATATATTATATTACTTCAATATGTTTAATTAAATATATTATAATAATATGTTATACATTAATTCAACCAACCCTTGTATACTTTCATACCGTAAAAGCGTATCGTAAGCGTCTACGTTTTACGAAATAAAGTATTAAAGAAACTTTTAATAACCTTTCTAATATATTAAAACTTTACGTCATTTATATTATAACCGTACTATACTTATTAGTAGTAGTAGCTAGTAAGAGTACTCATCTTAATATATTAAAATACGTTACGAAAACCTAGAACCTCTCCGAAGGCTAGAGAAAAAGGAGTAAGTAGGAATCGACGCTTGATTAAACTGCGAAAAGGGATTGATTAGTAATCGACTCTTGATTAAACGGGGAGAAACTAACCTGGATTAAACGAGAAACTAATCTAGATTAAACGAGAAACTAACCTAGATTGAACTGCGAAAAGGGATTAGCAATCGATTTCTAAACGGGGAGAAACTAACCTCGATTAAATAGGGTTAAAATAGGTAGGAAATAGGATTAAACGCGTAGGTAAATAGATGGACGCGTATGCTACGGTTTTATTAGATACATCCCTTTTAAGCGGGCCATATAAACTTTTAACTAATTAAAACAGCGTATACGAACTTTCAGCTAATAAAAATAGAGTTTCCTCTAAATGACACCTCTTTACAGGGGTATTTATAGGGGTGTTTAACCCCGCAATTAATCAGCATAACAGGGGGTTATGCGTATTATAACTATCCTCTAGATAGGATTAAATCGGTTATAGTTATATAACCTATACTTTATATACTTCCTCATCTTATAGTTTAAAGTATGTATTAAGAATAAATTATATATTTAAAATTAATGATTAAAGAACTAGGAAAGAATTAATTATTCAAGGAAATAATTTATTTCTTATATAGGCTTTACTTATATAACATACGGTTATTTCGATAACGGGCGACCCTCGTTCTTTAGGTAATTAATCGCTCTTAAAGCGATTATCGTCTTTTGAGTAACCTGTCGGGGTATTAAAAGTTATTACCATTTAAGCGACTTTTAATTCCATTAAAAGTCGTCGTTCATATAATAGGAAGTAGAATAACCTTTTTTCTATATAGTATATACGTACCTTCCCCTTTTATACTTTATAATTCTTATAAATTAATATCCCGTTAACTGTAGTTTCTAATATTATCCTCTTTTTTTTTATTCTAAAAATCCGAAGGTATGTTTTGTTTTCTTTCATTTTTTTACCTTATTCTTATTAATATACTTATTACTTGTTCTTTTCTTTTATTAATCCGTTCTTTGTAAGCGTCGTTGCGACCGGCTTATATTTACTTTAATATCCATTATCTCTTTATAAATACCCTACTTTTGTTATATTCGTCTATCCTTATCTTGCTGTATTACTAAGGATTAAGATTCTTATTTAAAGTATTTATCTGCTTATCTTTTCTATAACCGTTAAAAGGTTTTTATGAAAGAGGTTAATCGAGTTATTAAAGAAATTAATTGTATCGAAGCCGAATGAAATAATACTAAAGAAGAACTTAATTAAATAAAGCATTAAATTTCTACCTTACGTAATAAAGCTATTCGTTTTTATAAATAACGTCGCCGTATTATCGATAACTTACGTTCCTTCGTTAAGCGTAATTTATTAATTGAGGAAAAGGTTATTATTACGATTTCTCCTAAGGCCGGGCCTTCTGAGTTAGGTTCCGCTTCAAATCCTATATCGTCGGATTTCGATTAGGTTATCTTTTAAACAGATTTAAATTTTATTAATAAAAGTTGTTAAATTTCATTTTAAATATTCGATAAATAGCTAACTGGCTTTTATATATTTCCTTTTAATAAGTATTAAACAGGAGCAGCGTGGGCACGCTGATGGAGGCACGAAAACGGCTACCTAACTGCCAAGAACTGGCCCAGTGCCGATCAACCAAGATCACAGCTGTAAACAGCTGTTATCGGTTGATCGGCCAGCTGAAAACGGCAGCTAGGAAAAGACAAGAAAAGGAAGGCAAGAAGAGAGGCTAGCGAGAAAATGCATGACGAGAAACGAGTGAATAACTGTAACCTGTGATGGCTGACGATGGCTACAGGTCTAAGTCTAACTGATGAGAATATGAGTGCGCGACCTATATAAATACGCATCCAAAAGGCTACGTGGCCTAAATCCACCGCACCACTACAGTATTCCTTTTATTTAACTAAGTACTAAAGTTAACTTCTTACTTTTGGTAAGTTTAAAATCTTTTTAACTTCGAATTTTTGTTTATCTAATTTTTTGTTACTTTTTAATCTTACGTTTTCAGTACTAGGTTCTAATATATTAATATAAAATATTATATACATTCTTAAGTTCTTACATAGCTTTAATTCGTAATCTAATTTCGAAAGCTTCTTCTTAATTGTAAGTAGTCCTAATTTCCTAAAGTCGAGCTTATTACTTAACTGTTTAGTTTTTATTTAAAGGATCCTCTTTATTACGTACTATCTTCTATATAATAAATAAACCTTACCTTCCTCCTTTAAAATTAATCTCTTAATTCTCTTAGAGTTATAATATATTTTCATTCTCTACTAAATATATATTAATTCGTCGTATAGTCGTTTCTAAAGCGCTTTTATCTCGGCCGCTTTTATAAAAATACTTAAAGCTTCCGTTATCGTTAGCGTTACCTCGTTTAATATTAACGTTCTTAATTCTTTTAAGTTATTACTATAAACAACTATTTAAATACTAATCTTTCTATCCTTATTTTTTTAATATATTATAATGTCACGTAGGCATGTACCCCTAGTGGGAACCACCTAGCTTACCTAAGCTAGTTAAGTACTACTATATATACCTATAGATCGCTCTATACTCTCTAATAGCTTTCCTTCTTTTCGAGTTAGTTATTATATACCTTCTTACCCTTATTCCATTACTTCCTTTACGAATAACTTATTAACCTAAGCTTAGTTCTCGCTAGTTACGTAATAATTATAAGCCCGGAGTACTTCTAAGGAGCTATTATTACTTAGGTTATTCTAACGTAAGTAAGTAATATATATTTATTTATTTCTTAGATCTTACGATTATATTCCTTTCTTACTTTCTATATCGGTACTCTACTCCCGTATTTAGTAATAAATAATCGCTTACTTATTTCGCTATAACGATTAATACGTTTAAATTCTCCTTAGATAAAATTCCTATTAACGTTTACTTACGAGCTTACGATAAATAACCACGTTAGTTCTTACCGCTTAAGTCGATAGCTACTTAATTTAATATTTAAAAGGACGTTAATCTAAATGGAGTTAAGTTTAACGCTACTCGAATCGTAGTAAGTATTCTTAAGGAATATATTACTTAAGAGAACGACTTCCTTAAAGAAAACTATAAGAAAGCCGTCTACGAGTAGGCGTCGATCCTAACCGAAGACCGAAGAAATTAGCTACTAAGGCTTAAGGTACGAATTCGAGAGTAATAAACGGTAGCGTATAATAAACTCGTTTCCTAGTAAATAACGATCGAGGCTTAGGTCGTAGTTATTAATAAGTAATATAAGGTTCTCTATAGCTAGATTCTCGCATTTATTTCTATAGGTTTTCTTAAGGTAGTTAATATAGAGATATAGTTCCTAGACCTTAACCCGATTATTTAAAACCTCGTAAAGATCCTCCGTAAGTAAATTACTCCTACCGAAGCCGTCATTAAGACGCTCGTTAAGCGAGAATACCGTAAGGTATTCTAAAGAATAAAGGTAGGTACCTATAACCCCGAGTAATTCTACGTTATATAATAACATGCCTTCCTTCGCGTTCGCGCTTATTATATTAACGAAATTAAAGGCGTTATAAAAACAAAGGATTTCCTCGAAGTAATTAAGGCTAAGATCGTAATCGACTAAGTTATACGGGTATTAATCGTTCTTACGGAAGCTAATAAACTCAGCGAATAACTAAAGATCCTTAAGTAATTAGGCATCGTATTTAACGCTTTCGCTACCGAGAATAAGTAGAAAGGTAAATTAGGTTATAGGATTTTCGTAATAACTTATTAAGGACCGATTTTAAAAGCGAAATTAAGTAATAATAACAACTAAAGAAAAGTAACGAGCTACGAATGCCTTTATAAGTCTAGAGGTAAATTATACTTATAAGTAACTCGTTCTTATAAAACCTTATAAAAGTCTATTATTAATTAAACTATACGTAACCTAAAGCCGATCCCGGTTAATATTATACGAAAAATTAAGGCTAGATACGACTTACTTAAATACGCTAAGTTCCGAAACTAGATTAACCGTTAGGAATAGGACGTTCCCGTAAATAATATACCTAATAATCGCTCCGGGAACGGGGGAGGAAATAACGTTATTACCTAGCTAATTAATATTAACGTAATAATAATCGACTTACGTATTATATACCTATCTATCTAAATTAATATCTACTTTACTATAGACTTAATCCGATACCTACTATCGGAAAATACCGTCTTCGATAACTATAAAGTAATCTACCTTATTAATAATCGTAACCTTTTAATAAAGGGGTCGTTCGTTCCCGCTAGAAATGGATAGACGGTCGAAGCTAGTATTACGAGCTTTCCTATTATTAGTACGGGTCGGAGGATTATCGAGAAATATATCTTAAATTAATCTAATAAGCCTACCTTTAATTTAAAGCTTAAGGACGTCGTATTTATTAAAGATTTCTACGTTAATATTATCTTTAAAGCGAAACTTCGTAGTATAGGTATTTAATTTTACGGTTTAAATTATACTTTAAGGAATAAAACCCTCGAGAAAAATACCATAGTAAGGAAGCTAAAGCGAC